ACATCGTGATTGGATGATATACTCGAAAGAGGGTGTAAATGAAAATGCATCCACCATCAATTTACACCACCGTACGTGACTCGTAATCAATCTACCTGGATGTAGAAGCTATGCACTGCGGTATAATATATATCAGAACATAACCATGGAAACGCCCACCTTCTCCCATCCATGCACTCATAAGCCCCCAACTTCGATCCAAGGTGCCAAAAACCTATGACTCCCCAAACAGCTGAATTTCATCAGAGAAGCCCTCCTACTCCCTCCCCACCTCCTCATACCACCCTCCATGACACCGCAAGTCAACCTTCCTGACCCTCTCCAACAGATCCACAACCCCCCGCACACCCGCCACGAACTCACCCATCCCCATCTTACTCAGCTGCTCCGCCGCCTGAGTATTCGCGCGAACCTTCTCCGCCGTACTGGCTGCCGAGAGACGGGCAAAGATGTGTTCGCGCAGGGACTTGAGGATGAAGGTGCTGATTTGTTCGGTGAATGATGCTTCCCCAATAGCTGGCACGCTAGAACGTGAAGGGGAAGATGAGGGTGGTGACGATAATGCAGGGTCATAAGGCCTCCCCTCCTGAACGGCGCGTGAGTGTGCGTTTTCTGCTTCCTCGGCTTCATTGGAAGCCGCAAGCGCGGAGGGTAAGATGCGACCGATGAAGTTGAGGAGACCTTCTCGGATTGCGTCGGGGATGCGGCGGCTGGATTCGAGGGCGGCGAGGATGCGCTCTGCGGTCACATTTGCGGCGTCTGGGGAGTCAAGGAGGTTCATGATTCGGTCTGCGTCACTGGTCCAGCTTTCCTGTCTGTTTCGCTTTAGGCGGATCTTGGTGGTAAGGAGGATGGAGGAGGTGGCGACCATCTTGAATACTTTGGCTCGCAGGGCGAGGAGCCTTCGCCAGTCCAGACGTAGAGTCTCGGGGAGTGTGTCGTAGTTGGATGAGGTGTTGGATATGACCAGGTCGACTAAACCCCGTGCATATGTTGCATCACCGGGTACTGCATCCAAGTTGCCATTTACGATAGCGGCAGCCAGACCAGCTCGGCTGGTCGTCCACCATCTTTTAAGGTTGTCTAAAGTATGTACACCATTCTCTAAATCTTGTTTGAACATCTCGCACTCATGTTGCCAACCATGCTCCGTGACTCCCTGACTTGCAAGCGCAAATTGGAAATTCACGTGGTCCAGCCTCATCAAATCAATGATTTTGATCAACGCAAAGAGACGGGTGATGATATCGCTCTCTGTGTCCGCTGCAAATTCTTTGACAGCTTGGTCTCGTCCGGGCGAGCATAATTGACCGATAATGTGAGCTATGGTGTCAAAAAACTCAGAATACGAGAACATGCCCGCTAGGGCAGTCTGCTTAATGAGCTTTAGGTCTAGAAATCCATCAAGCCGATCATAAACAGGATGTTGCTTCGTGATAAGGGTGAACAGCTTCTCTCGGATGAAGGCCGCCATAGCATATGTCCAACCAGCTGCAGCTGCATCGCCCTCTGAGGCCATGGAACGACGCATGCTTGCCTGAAGGGTATCTATGAAATGGGCACGCGAGTCTGTCCATGGTTGCTGTTGAACTTGATACGTGCCATTAATTTGAATTTCGTGAGAAAGTTCGCGGTTCGAGGGCAGAATGGTCATGGCTCGGCCAAGACTGGTCAGTTGCGAGGATACACTCTTGCTGGCACGGAATGTGGTATTGAATCCAGATGCGGAAGTGGCTTTCAAATCGAGACTCTGGCTCGACCCTGAGGTAGATCGCGGAACGTTCTCCTCGGAATCGTTTCGCGTTCTTTCAAGACGCTGCTTTCTGGCCTTTTTGACTGCTTTGCGGATCATTGCTAAAGCAGTATCGGGTCCAGCAAATTTCTTCAGTCTTGCTAGAAGCTGGATTTGGTTGTTGTGGATGGCTTCTGCATAGTCATCAGAGACGCCTCCAGCAACGTCTTCCTTGGTGCTTTGGAGGATGAGGTCCAGCTCCACAAATTGTTTAACCATGATCTCAACCAGTGAGCTCGAGTCACGGCTTTTCCAAGCATGGAAGGTGGTGCAGAAATTGTTGAACGCGAATGACAGAGCTTCGTCGGCAACGTGCAGATTCGTCTCAGGGACAGGCTCTAATGCCAAATGTAATGCCTTCAGAAGCTCATTTGCTTTCTCGATCAAATCCTGTTCTTGAGCATCTTTCCCACCAAAGCTCAAGGTTTGGGTAGGATGACCTAGGATCAGAAAGATGCTAAGGAAGATTCGTACAGAGCCTCGGTCGCCTGCACTCTCTCCTCCAAGCTGCAGCAATTTCAGTGCCTGAAGTGCTCGAGCAGTAGCATCAAGTATGCTGTCTTGCGATAGAAGTGTGCCGACATCCTCAAAGGCCATTTTCTTGACTCGATCAAGCGTCAGATCTAAAGCCTTGAAGTCTGCAATCCCTCTGTTGCGCTGGCGGCTGCGCCATGATCTCTGTATGGTTTCCGCGGCCAGATCCTCGTTGAAGGTCTTGAACTCAGCTTTGTTTGTCCCCGGCTCCTCGGCAGCAGGCAACGAAGCGGTTCGAGGCCGTCGTAAGCTTTGCTGATATGCTGACCTTCTTCTTGCGGCTTCAGCAAATTTTTCCGCCATTTCCTCTTTCAGCCGAGTTTGCTCGGCAGCTTTCTTCTCCCTGGTCTCCTCGGCAACTTTTTTGACTCGCCGAACCTCTTCTTCACACTTTGCTGCTACTCCCGCTAGGAGCCTTTCCCTTGTAGCCTGCGCAGCCAAGGCTCTCTCTTCACGATAGGATGGTCGTGGGGTGGCTTTGGCAAGAGCTGCTCGAAGTCGTACGCGTTCGGCATGCGCGGCACGATCCGCTAATCGGGCCTTCCTGCTTTCAATTATAGATGCCCGTCGAAGATGCTGTGCCACATGGGTACTAAAGGGTCCGCCATGTGCGGAAAGGGCAGACTGATGGGAGTGTCGCGACGACAGCGAATTTCGGCGTGAGGAGTGTGCAGAAGATTTTCGACGACTGTTAGACTTGCGGTAGAAGCGTTCAGCCAGGTGAGCGGGTGGTGCGTAAGAGATAGAGCTATCATCTGCAAAGAAGTCCATATCCACGTCTTCTGGAGGGGGGGTTGGCTCCATTGTCTTCGGTTAGTTTCGAGTGCCTATTTGTAAGAGAGCGGCGTGCTGCATGCGTTTTTCGGTCTCGTTATGGGAGTGGCTAAAGCCCAGGAGCGTGTGACTATATTACGCACTTGGAAGCTTCGAGTGGGCAATCTTTATGCAGTAGAAATGCCTGTTCGCAGCATGGTCCGGCTTGGTTTGCTGCAGCGAGAACAAAGCAGTCACCACGAACTGAGGTAATTCTGTATTTGAGGTCTAAAGAGCAAGATCGAGAAGAGAATGTTATGAAATGATAGGAGCAAATAGAATGTAGAGTACGAAAAAACGAATGTGTTGCAAGGTGGCGTGGAACAAGAAGTGGGAGGCTGGTTGGCGGAGTGCGTGGTGAATATGCATCAGCAGTTTCCTCCTCTAATTACTAACTGCTAGTAATGTGGCCAACTCCCATGTGCACCACCCCCCGATATCACCGTTCTTACCAAATCTCAGGAGACAGGGTCATGAGCGGCATGACAATCTAGCATACGAATAGTATGGACCTCTCACTCATAAAGCACTATCAGTAATAGCGACAAGGATGCACTCTTAACCTTCACATAGTTGAATGATGGAGGAACTCTGACTCCTACTACAACTACCACCAGTAGAGTACTACGTACATGCTTAGCATGCTTGACACGACGTTAACAGAAATCAACATAGAGATGAGTTGCATGGTCAAATTCAAGCAGCATTTGTTTACATAATGTCTATCGAACTGTTTCAATCAATCCTATCTTTGAAATAGCACCCGCAACGTTTGAAAAGTAGAATATGCTCTGGGACCCAAACCACCGAGTAGTGTGTGCTGCACATTGGGGTGGTATACGTGTGAGTTGGCCACGTTACGACTTACTAAGTCTGACTCTGTCACGCTGCCTCTCGGCTAATCCCCGAAGGACCGAAGGACCGGAGGACCAACCCCAAGCCTAAAAGAGACTGGTGACCGCTATCACCACAGCCTTAACTACTTGAGCAGGACGAGACCCTCTTAAAATAATGCTAGAAGAGCCATCCAAGAGCGCGCTTAGACTAAGCCTAACCGTGAGATTACTTAGAGACTGTCACCAGTTATGGCAAAAAGGAGCTCCGTAGTGTAAGATGTGATAGTGCGGGAAAAAAGAGCCTCTCCTTGGGAAGCATTAGGACTAATTCGAAGCAAACTCTGCCATCCAGCGCCTGATTATCAGCTCGCCTCTAGGGCTGACCAGCGTTCCCAACCACTCAGTACGTTAGTTGATCCAAGTTTTAGGAGTCTATCATGTTAACGCCAACGCTTCAATGCAATCACAGTCGCCAGCCCCATATACCCTTCATAGACTCATGGAGCCTGGTCCTTCTTCGCATCCCTCAATGCCCTCAGACATCGCTCCAGGCCCTTGCCCCTTTCCTTCTCCTTGACCACCATGCCTCGAACAAAACGCCTGATGGCATCTTGGCTCACTTCTTCTCTCCAAGCCGTCCATCCAGCTAGTTCGCCCACAACGACTTCAGTGGTCCATCGCAGCTCACGAGAGATTCTCTCCACATCTTTCTCGCTCTGGGCAATCTTATTCTCTGTGTTCTTCACTGTCCTGTATCTGCTCTCCTCCATGCCTGGGAAATTGAACTTCCTTGGCAGAGATTGACTTGTCAAGTTGCTTTTGTGGCGTGCTATTGAATGCATAGATGAAGTAAGTTGTGAGACGAGAGCGATTGGGCGCATGAACGATGTCTGTAGAGCTTGGATGGTGCTGTTGAAGCCGGTAATGGATTCGATGAAGCTCTTCAGCGGCGAAGAATCACTGGGTGTCGTCATGAGGCCAGCATAGCGCCCCAAAGCAGCCACATACGGCTCTGGGAGAGTGTCTGCTGGCGGACCTAGGGTTGATAAGGCCGCAGCAGACATGCTCAGCGCATCGGTGAGGTCATTTTGGCAGTGCAGCAGGGCATGACCACGACGAATGAGTAGACGGGTCCGTGACGCTACGCTCTGGATCATGCGCTGGCTGTGAGCGATGTTCTGCTCCACATCTTGCACATCTGAGACCGGCTCGTACTCATCTTGGATTGTTTCTCTGAGAAGCTCCGCTTTCAGCTTGGCTCGTTGAGCCATTTGTTCGGATTGCATGTCGGGAACAAGAAAGAATTCCCACAACATTTCATGGGTGCTGAAGGTTGGATGGGCCAGAAGGATCTTGAGGAAACGGTCCAGGCTGACTTGTATATCATGTAGAACTGCCCGGCTAGGTTTGGAGATAATTTGGAAGGGACTACGGAAGGACGAGATGCTCGGTAGATATGAGGCCGGATGTTCAAGGGCAAGCCATTTGGCAAGGTTTTCGAAGTCGGTGAGAGTCCGACGGCTGGTGGTAATGGTGAATGTTGTGCCATCCGGGTCGGAAGTGTCACTGGGGGCACCGGATTTGAGTATGAAGCGCGTTGTGCCGTCTTCCACAAAGAAGGAGCGGACGACTGTTGTGATACGACTGCGGGTCTTGGAACTCGGACGTACCGAAGAGCCAGAGAACAAGGTTAGGTCGTCGATTTTATTACGAACCTCATCGTCCTTGGCCAACTCGACGGCGGTCAGACCTCGTAGCTCTTTGAGGTTCAGATCCACTCTTGGGTCGGCAAAGAAGACACGTACCATGTCGACTCGGCCATACTTGCTTGCTAGCATTAGAGGAGTGAACTTTTTATCGTTCGTTGCATTTGGATCAACGTCGCAATGGTGTAGGATGTGATGGATGATAGTAGGGTCCTTGACGATGTGCAACAGCGTATTGCCTTTGTTATCAGTGTGATCCGAAAGGCGCAGGGGCAGCCCGTCTGCTTGAGCCTCGGTTGCCACAGCCAGTGCTTCAGAAACCATCTCGCCATAATCTGGATGATCGTATGATCTGCAAAGTGCGAACAGAGGTGTCTGCCCTATACGATCTTTCTTTTTCCACGGCAATTTGCTGTGCAGCCTAGACAAGAGCTGGGGCGCATTGAACAGATAGTGAGCGGCAGTCCGACCTCTTGTGTCTGCTTTGGCAATATATTCGACAATCGTCTGTTCTTCTCGCTCTCTGAAGACATATTCAAGGATGATATCGATGAGCTCGGTATGCGCCAATTGTATAGCCGCGCTGAGAAGCGTTGCACCCTCGCTGGTAGTATCATCTAGTATCATTTGAGGAGAGTAATATTCCTCAAGTGACAGAAGATATCGTAGTGATTCTGGCTGACGTGCCTCTACCGCCATCATTGGAATAGAGTTCCCCGTTGGATCTTGAGTCCTCGAAAGGCTTTCAATTGAAGTATCTCCCTCCATACCACTTGCGATGGATCCCACCGTCGTGCGAGATCGAAAGGAAATCGCAGAGGAGACGGAGAGGCTACGAATGTCCAAGGATACCCTTTTGCCTTTCTTCGATGGGGGTGAAACAGAAGTGTCAACAGACGAGGCCTGAAATGGAAACACATGGGAGAGATTCGAGCCTAGTGAAGCAGAGGCTCTTGTTGAGGCGCCAGATGATGATCGGCTTCGGGACATAGCAAAATCTTGAACCAGGTCTTCAGCTCCGCCGTTCACTCCCTGCGCCCTAACAGCATCTGATAGCTCCTGTGCCTCGTCTACTAGCCTCTCATCCATGCTCGTGTTATCAAGTTCCAGAATAGCCTTCATTTCGCTCAAATTGCCTGCTTTTGTTGCATTCCACAATCTTCTATTGCGCATGCTAGCCTTTCTCAGACCACCGGCGTCCTTCGTTAAATAAGACAGCACAGCCTCGAATGTGCTGAGAGCGTAGCCAACCTCGCCGCTCTCGACATCATCGACATAAATAAATCTTTGCATATAGGACAGTCGTGCGTGCAAGTGCCGTACCTGGGAGCGAATAACCACAACCAAAAGCAGAGATACCAGAATATCAGCATTGATGGTCATCATGGAGCCTTTCTTCTCGGACTCGTCGTTCGATATTGTGGTATCTGGACTGCCCTCATCTGTGACCGCCTTTTCTGTATCTAGCAGAACTTCGAGCATTTCTTGAGGGCTGCAAGCCACACCCAGCTTCCGGAAAGCTTCGATGCCTTTGTTCAATCTGCGAAGGAGATTCTCTTTACAGGGTTTTCCACCCTCAATTGCAATTCCTACTTGTGAAACATCGATGTTCTCCATCTGTCGGATCTTGCGCTCGAGCTCTTGATCTTCAGCAAGATGAAAGCTGGAGAGTCGAGGAAAGAGCAAGTTGTCGTGTACTTGCTCGGCGACATATCGCTCGATGAGTCGCTCGACTATCGGACCAGTAAGCTCGGTAGTGGCACCAAGTAGGGAGAGCTGTTGTTTATCCACCATCTGAAACAGGTCAATCGCAGCAGTCACGGCTGTTTCCAAAGCACGCCTCATAAGATCCTCCTCATCATCGCAGAATTTGGTAGAGTTGAACGGTAACTTAGGATGATCTTTTGCTTTCTTGCGAGGGATTGAGCCATTTGGCTGCAGACTTCCTCCCTCGTCATCGCTATGGTGACTTATTGCAGATGAGTCCAATGGAGGAGGCGGCAACGGTTTACCGAGTTCTTTGCCAAATTCACTGAACAGTCGTTCTAAGCCTGGTTGCATTTGCTTTGCGATCATGGGGAAATTATTCAGTAATTCGGAAAATGATTTGATCTTCTTTTTCTTCGATATAAGATCATCCAGAGATGTATTCTCTTGGGCGGGCTTATCCCTCAATGCCTTTCGCGAAATAGTAGCTGGCACAATGGACCTGGTCTCGAACGTTCCTACTAACGGCCTTGATATGTAGTAAATGAGCCAGCTCTGAGCGTCCTGAGAGGAGAAATACATCACGTCTGACAAGAGTTGAGCTTGAGTCAGAGTTCTAAAACCTGTTGCCATATTAACATCGGAGCAACACCACCGGCGGAAGGTGCATTGTACCTTTATTGCTATACAACATGTTTTCTTTGATTATCACCGTACGCCCATTGACGGTTGTGTATGACCTCGCCTTCCCTCGATTTTCACGTATATTGTTGACATCTTTTCCGTTAAATCCGCTGCCCGGCCCAACCCGCAAGATATGGCTGGCCAGAAACTCGTCATCTCGTACCAGTTCCGTGTATGATCTGTCCGATTCTCGGTCCCTCGCGTTGATGAGTGCATCTGTTGTTGGCACAAGCAATACCTAGACGAGAATGAGTCAGTTCCATCATGCGCAAGCTCAAATTGCATGTCTTGGAACAGAGCAAGGAAGGCTCTTACATGGTTGTGAATAGGGATGGCCTGCCCTGGGACCGTGCTGCGGAAGAGGGCGTGCAAGAACGGATTCAATGGTTGCATCCACGCAATGACAACCGCCGAGGAGAAAAGACAGCGTCACTCATTTGTGCTAATTGTTTATCGTACGGAGAGGGTTCGACCCTCGACCACGTCAAGCCCGGCGGCTTCCCTGGTACACTGAGCAGGAAGGGGATTTCTCTCTAGCAGGATATTGGCTGTTTTTGTAGATGAGCCTTTTCCAGGGTGGTGAAAAACTTGTCGCCTTCAGATGGCTACAGAAGCGCACTTGTTTTATTGTCGTCTCATTCAAGTTGAATACTGGTAGTCTATCAATTCTACGTCTGGCTTGTGGCCTGCCATCACTGCAATCACGGCCTTCCGGATCTGGCCATGCATGTGCAGCTCGCCTTGGCAAGCCTGTTCTTGCTATTTATCCCAGGCTCTACAGAGCGGCTGGATTGGAGTACTCCATCAGTATACAAGGCGGATAAATCTACTGACCCAAGATGTCTGCACAGTGGGAGGATTTGGTTTATGGTGCTGACCTCAACATCCCAAAGACGCACCAGGAGGAAATCCGATCACGGTGGTATAATTTCTGGTTAAGACACGCCAATCTAGAATCGCTTCAATACCACGTACGTTCCTCTTAGCTTATCCGCAAAACTTCCCGTGTCTAGAAAAGAAATTGCCCGAAGCTCCAACAAAATGCCAATCACGAGCCACATTAAGTACTATGCTTAGACAAGGCATGCAAAGGGAAGTAGTCCCAGGCTGGGAGCAGTGATTGTTGCCAATTTACAAGACCGCAACGACACCAGCAACAGCAATGACAGCAGCGGCCAGACTTCCAACGCCCTGGCTGGATGCACCCCCAGTGGATTGAGGGAGCGATGCTCCGGTTGCAGATGCAGAGCCAGCAGCACCAGCAGAGCCCGAGGCCCCTGGAGTACCAGTAGCTCGGTAGCTGAATGTCATTCCGGAGCTGTTTGTAGCGGCAGCGGTGGTCATGACGGCCGTCCTGGTGCAAGAGCAAGAGGAATCATAGGACTCGGTAGTGTAGGTCATAATCGCGGTCCCATTACCGGAGGCGGAGGACGTGGCGGAGGACGTTGCAGAGGCAGAGTAGGATGCTAATGCAAGGAGCCTGTCAGTGTGATTTTGAGTGCTGTAGCAACCGCGAACATACAAACGGTTTTGCCGGCGCCAGCGCAGGTGCTCGAAAATGCAGATTGAGCCACATCCACATTGTTACCGCAGATCGAGGCGATCGCTTGCTGGACTTTCGAAGCATTGTCGCCACAAATGGTGTCAAGGTCCGAAGGGTCCTTCTCAGCGCTGCGGATCAGGGGTCAGTAAAACTTACAGCCATGGATGAAGAGGTGCGGGATCATACTTGACAGCTGCAAGCAGACAGGCAGGAGGTGTGGCAATCACTTTGGCTGAAAAGGCAAAGAGACCAAGTAAGATGCTGAATTTGATGACAGCCATGATGAAGACGTCTGGTTGTTGTACTAAGGAGCTTTATCTGATCGGCAGGATATGTGCAATTAGAGAGAAGATGTTGATGTACAAAGTGGAGTGTCAGACAAATGAGTGACTGTGTTGCTAAAGAGCGACTGCGGTAAGAACTGATGCAGGATAAAGAAAGTTGGTGTTTGGAAAAGACTTGAACAATGTTTTAAAATGAAAAGCACCGGAGCCCCTTGAAAGAGCGGAAGATTGGAGTCGCGCTGCAACACACGCTAATTCAGCCACTACTTCAGCCACTACTTCAGCCACTTCAGCCCACTATTTTAGCCACTATTTTAGCCACTATTTCAGCCGCTAATTCAGCCACGAACAACTTCCCCGAGCCTCTGCGTTGGCACCTGCAGAGTACGAAGTACGATGCGTGGTTAGTAATCTTTTTAAGGGTCCTGACAGATGCAGGTACTAACGGGTCTTGTGACCCTCTTTAGTGTTCAGCTTTCCAATAAATTTGGGATCTCGGTTTCCAGCGGTGTGCAAAAACTTCTCAACGTATACCTGACTGTACTGATACTGCGTCTGCTCGAACGTAATCATGGAAGACCAACTTAATCGTCTGGCTGAAAAGGTTTGGGGTATGTGACTCTCGTCAGTTCTTATTACCCATGATATGGTAATCTCCTCTCATCGCACACATACAGGAACTGATGGCATTCTGTGGAAGGTAAATATGGAAAAACAGACCGGTCAACTCGAGTTCTGATAGCAATCGCCGGTCTACCTGGCTCGGGCAAGACGAGTGTGGCAAGCTCTTTGGTGAAGAAGCTAAACGAACATTACCACAAAGATTGGCGGTCAAAGCATCCTAACTTCCCAGGCACTCCGCCCTACAATCCAGATACGCCTACTATGTTCCTCTTGATGGGTTCCACTTGACCCGTGCCCAACTGGCGGCAATGCCAGATCCAGAAGAGGCGGCTTACAGACGGGGCGCTCCGTTCACTTTTGACGGAGAAAAGTACTTGGAGCTTGTACGGAAACTGCGAGAACGGATCCTGCCGGAGTCCACAACAATTTATGCTCCAAGCTTCGATCACGCAGTAAAAGATCCTGTGGAGAATGACATTCCCATTCCGCCAACAGCTCGCATTGTTGTGTTAGAGGGTCTCTATGTTGCTTTGGATCAGGAGCCGTGGCGGGATGCTGCTAAGCTGATGGACGAGTTGTGGTTCGTCGACGTCCCCATGCATCTCGCGATAGAGAGACTGGTCAAAAGACATGTCGAAGCGGGACTTTCACCGGACGCGGGACATGCACGAGCCAGAGTTATGGCTAACGATATGCACAATGGCCAGTATGTTCTCGATCATCGGCTTCCAACCCAAGAAATGATCCAAAGCATAGAGGAGGGTGCTTGGAAAACCACGAAATCCGAGATACAAGAAGCCGCTGAAGGAAAGAATAGACCTGGACCTGACAGAATGAGTTCAACTGCGAAATTGGCAGCGCTGGGGGCCGGATGCTGAAGACTACATCCGAAAGATGACAACTCCGGAACACAGAGCGCAACGAGTAGCTAAGCTCATTTGCTGGGAGCATTCAGTATGAGCCTGGCTGATGAGGACGATGTCGCCCGGCACTAGCTGGAGGGAGCACAGTACATATCTGGAATAAGGATATCGAACGCCGCGGACGCATGCGGCTGCAGCAGACTAGATAGGTCCAATTAGCTACACAAACAAGCCTTGAAAGACGAATCGAGATGAGGCAAACTAGTCGTTCCTTATTCGTAGATACCCGAGTCGAACTTTTCCTTCGCCCAGAATTTCGCAGTGATAGCATTACCATTGAAGATGCGTCCCTCCAGAGCATTGACAGCCCTTAACGCGCTGAGCTGGCTGACGAAGTTGACAAAGACAGCCGGCCCGGCGTCGGTTACTTCAAGATGGGCGTTATCCGCAATGTACACTCTTTCCACTTTGCCGTATTTGTCACTGCACTCTTCGCCTATCTCTTGCATGATCCCGCCTTCTTCTCGTCCAAGCTCTTCTCCCAAGTCCATGCCCTTTAACATGCCTTCGAGCTTAATTACTTCCGACATCGCACCAAACCTCCCTTCAGCTTCCTGCTGTCCAGCCTTGCTCTTCTGGCCACCCATGATCTTTCCAGTCGCGGTTGGCGTGACGAAACCACCACCTTCTGCATCACTCTTCTTCTTACGCTTGTCCGCTTTTGCGTATAGCGGGTTGATGATACCTGTCCCTTGAGCACCAAGGCCTGATCCCTGAGACCAGCCATACTTCGACATAAGTCTCTCTGCAAAGCCTTTTTGACCAGGTCGTAATGAGCGGGGGGCGTCCGATGTATCGGTGGCTTCAGGTTTCTCCTCTGACAACGCAGCATCAAGTTCTGCATCTGTGGCAGGGATCTCAGTTGGGGGTGGTGGTAGTGAATAGCGTACAGGAGCACGCGAGATCTGACCAGTTGGGACCTGCACAGGAGGTGGTGATGGTGCTCGCAGAGGCATATTTGCAGGGCCACCGGGTAGCACTTTTTGTACTTGGCTCAGACGCAAGCGACGTGCATAAGCATCTTCTCCAGTAGGGTCATTGGGTATAGAAGTTGGAGGAGGGGGTGGTGGGGATGATCTGTCATCGGCGATATTTGCTGGAGGTGCGAAAGACATTATAGGTGGAGGTGCAAATTGCCCTGATGGTAGCTGTTAGCATAATTTCCTGGAGCTTTGATCATTGGTCACACTATTTATCTCGATTCTCCCATCTGGAGATCGGTCACTGCTGTAAATACTGGACGACCTTCTCCTCATGCGATGCGCATACAGACGATCCTTCCACTCTTTAACTTCTCTGATCTTCTCTTCGCTGTTTTTGTAGTCCTCATAGCTATTAGGGCGACTGGGATCATAAACGTCGTCCCAGTTCTGCACAAGCTCCTCAGGTGCGCGGTTCTTCTTACGCTTCTTCCGGCCACCACGTGGTCGCTTCTCTCCACCAAGGAGATCGTTGACATTTTCATCATCAGAGGCTGTTGTAGTCCAGTCTGCGATTGTCGTCTTGGTAGCTGTCTGTGGAGCTGCTGGTTGGTCTGGGACGGGAGGGTCAATTTCTGGAGGGGGTGGAGGCACTGGAACTGTGGATTTTGGTGGCGGTGGCTGAGCGAATTTGCTGGCAATCGCTTTTGCTTTCGCTTTTTGTGCCGCAATTTGTGGTCTTTTCGTTGGTTGAAATCGTAGAGAGGCTATCGTATCGAAACAGGAAGACCCGGTCCACACGTGAGTAATTCCATCTTGCAAAACACTAGGCTCTTACGATGGAGGTCTTTCAAGTACCGGCCAAAGCTTGCTGCTTCTTTGCAGCTTCATCTTGGTCTGAAGAAGACGCATCCCCAGGCTTCTTGTACGTCACTGGAGCACCGGAGATTGTACTGGAGCTGGAAGATGCCGAAGGATCAAGGAGGTCGGCATAGAGGGAGAATTTGCCCTTTGCCGGTGTGGTGTCAGGTGCCATATCAGTGTCCTTTGAGCTCTGTCCACCTGGTGCGTAGAATACGTGATGGCGGTTAAACAGAATATAGACAGCTATCAAAGTCGAGCATCGAGTAGATTAAGATGAGGGAACAGCAATGACAATCCGAGTCTGAGATTGAAGTTAAGCAACTAGGCCTAGTACTAGTAGGTAATCGGCTAAATGAAATCTATCAGCTTGCCAGTCCCGTGCCTAGGCCCTCTGAAAGTTACTACGGGGGAGGCATAGTAAGAAGTACTCGTAGAACAGCGCTAGAAACACTACTACGTATGTAAATTACAACGTTACGTAAAAGACTCTTACTGTATTAAGGATAGAGTGCCCAGATTTCACCAGCTAGGACTAGTTTGCTTAAGATTGTGTACAAGATCAACAGGGACATCTGTATCCAAAGCGTTCGAAGTGGCGAATACTAGCGCTGTGCTACGAATACTTAGCTATGTACTGTACTCCGTTGTATGTCTAAAATACCATCATGTTGAACGGCAGGAGCGCTTATTAGTTGCATTTTCTACGCGAAATCCTTGCGTTTTGATTGGTCAATTTCTGCCGCAATTTCGCTGCGCCGCACGGCAAATTTTGTACTTATTTCTGCGCCCTGCGCAGCTTTTTTGAACGAACAGAGCCATTTTCTTCCTCCTGCTGCACACATCAATATGTGCTTAGTTTAGGCCCAACTGTGATATGATCCAGTGTGTATCCACCGTTCTGGCGTAAAATGACCCAATTTACCATTGGCTGGCAGCCGCGCGGTAGATATAGCTTATTATCTCCACCAACAAGAAGTTCACAGTTCGACCTTAAACATTTTCAGGTCACATTAGTGGCGGGGATTGAGCCAATAATGAATTGGGTCATTTAATGCCAGAAAGGTGGATAGAAATACGCAGCTAGACATCTAGTATCCAATGATATTGTGTTATTTTGGACGTCTTTCCTTTGGAATTATGGCTATATGATAGTCAAATTATAGTCATTCGAGCCCTCCGATGATCCTTATCCCCTCCGTACCGGTACAGGGGTGTAGAATGTCTCAATTAGCGTCGTCGATCTTCGTTTTTTGAGGTTGCCACAACTTCTGCCTAAGCAGCTCGTTTGATTCCAGCTTCAAGATAGAGGCTTTCTGTGATCAGTGCTTCATAGCTATTACAGAACCATCTATTTATTCTCTACAGATATTAAGTGCTGGTTGGATGAACTTCTGTGGACAACCTTATTTGAGCTTAAAATCTGCAAAAGATGCTAATTGAGCCAGCCGGTATGGAGGGGATAATGACAAATCGGTTGCTAAATTGCTATGGACCAATAGCGCGTCATTTTCAGAGCCCTTCTCTACGTAAGTTGTCTCGAGACATGCCAAGAAACTCCTTCTCGCATGGCATGCTGTGTGCTACTAGTACCAGCTGATCAAAAATAATTATTTAGGTCCTTTCAACAAACACTTTCTCTTTCGCTAAAGTGTCACCTGCATTACATCTGACTAAACAGTGGGTGTATTCCGCAGTTCCGTCCCAATTGAGCAATAGGAGTAGGAGATGGTCTGAGAAGGCAAATCAGACTTGTCGTCTCCTCGGCGAACCCTTCTTATCTCTCTGTTCCATGTTGTTATGCGTTTGCAAGATCTATCTTCCCGACATATCCACCACTGTAGGGGTAAAAGACGTAACATCCCCTACTTCAGTGGAGCCTCATACTCTTACAGTGACCACCAGGACCTAGCTGGAATCACAGGCACCCACCGACATGCCTAGCATCTGCTTGCCTCGATGGAAAGCGATGCTGGCAAACACAACGGTTGGATTGATGAGCATGGTGAGCATGATGAGCATGATGAGCATGATGAGCATGATGAGCATGATGAGCATGATGAGCATGATGAGCATCGCCGTAAGCGGTATCCTCGCCTGTGCAGTAACTTAAAACTGCTAGGACTTTAGGCCTGATAGGGAAGTTTATGCTATGGCCCTCCACCTCCCTACGCTGATCTTGGTTCTTCTATTCGATTCTGATTCCTATATAGGTTTGCTTCTATATATCCGCTAGTATGCTGCTGCACGCTTCTTCTTTCCGGCAGCCTAGCAGACGTCTTCTGGAGCCGGCTCGTCTATCTGATAGGTAGTGCACTATTTACAAGCTTCATCCTCCCTTGTAGCCTCCCAGGTCAGGAATGTGGTTTGTCATTTCTTGAGTTTGGCACGGCATGGCTATCTCTCCTTTTTCGTCAAGTTCGGTCAGCATGATCAATAGCACTTTCCTGCCAGACCAGCGAAGCAACATGGCTTTTGCCTCTCTTGGGGTTTGCGACCATTGGGAATTCTAGTTGGTCTCGTCCTCAGCTGCATTTTCGCCGATCGATATTATTGGCTGTCAACCCGCGTCGTACCTGCTCTCAGGCATCGACCCCGTCGATCTTTCCATATCGCTTGTGCGTTTTCCGAGAATACTGAGAGCACTGGAGGCGGTATGCTGCATGGATTCGGGAAGAACGTCGACTGGCTTGGCGTTCTGTGCATACTTACTACGTCTCTAGGTCTTTTTTCCTACGTACTTGCGGAATCATCGTACAAATCGGCGTCATCTCCTCCCTTACCAATATTCTCTTAATAAGTCTAGCTCTTCTTTGGTATTATCTTTCTCGCTCTGGTTCCACCACGATGGGAAAGCCGGCAAACTCGCCGTTATCCCAACACCATCTGGCGCAAACCAGTGTGTCCATCAAATTAAATTAGTCAAACAAATCAAATCAAATCGGTGCTTTCGTCAAAGCAAATCGGTCTGCGTGGATTTGACAAATTGGTCAAACTGAAGTCTTGATAGAAAAGTCTCTTGATTGATTGATTTAATCTTACTCCTATCGAGCTATAAGAGCTCATGAGGGAAGGACTACGTGATTTCGAGCAAGGAAACCCTCTGGGGAAGAAAACCTTGCCACCCTGTGCTGATCGTTAGGGGAGTTTCGCTGTATACCGAGTAGTCGCAGCCGTCTGCGAGTCGTTCCGAACGTGTACCAACTGCCAGCCATCGCCTCTTGTCACCCTGAACCACACTCCATCTCCTGGGCGGTAGTTCCCCAGGGTCGGACAGAGAGCCCTTGTGGTGCCTGCACTTGTGAACCAGGTTCACCAAGGGGAGAACAGCCGCAGCCTCGAGTACCCCTTCGTAACTCCTCGCTCTTCTTCGCGCTGAAATGCTTTGATCTGTGAAATGAAAGTTCTTCTCTGCTGCTGTGGGGTGGTATCTGGTAGAAGGCCGTATCCTGCTGCTCCAAGAAGGGCATTGAGGTGAGAGGGTTCGTGGGTCGCAAGTCCATCCCGCCTCTCATTGACTCTCCGCAGGAGATCGTAACTCACTGGTGCCCCACACTGGGTGGCAAGTCCAGCGCCACGACCCAGACTTTTGCTCCGATCTCCTGTTCCATCTCTTTGCTTCCCAAGATACTGTTATCTTGCCATAACCGACTGTACCTGTGTATGTTTTTCCTCTCCTGCCCGATCGTGCCTCCGTACACGTTGTACCCTTCTCATGCCCCCTCCTCCGGGCGGTAGTTCCCCGGGTTTCAGGACAAGGGCCCAAAGAGGTTCCACCGGTCGGAACCGATCACGACAAGAGTGAATGCTTCGTGACTTGTCGTAGATTAGATCTTTCCTTTCATTTGACGGTTTTCTGTGTTGTTGTGGGGTCATTGCTACTCGCAACCGGTCGCCAACCGACGCGATCTTGAGCAGCCACTCGCCCCTGAGTGTGAGCTTCCTTTGGTTTCCTCACGCCGAAGCATGAGTACTCACGCCGGACACCACGAGAAGGTAGAAGCTCATGTCCCATCTGCCCTACGCAGCAGACGCCTGATGCACGCTCATCAGGGGCAGAAAAGTCTCTTATTGTAAAATATTTTTCAGGGTTGTTATCTCGGTACCTGTGAATTACCTCGTCGGGTTTAGTCGGTCTCGTGACCCACTCATCGCCCTCGCATTATCTATTATCAGTCCCCTCAACCGGGTATAGGGACGTCTACGTCTCCTGCCGCTTTTCCATGATTCCCTTCATCCATCTCAGTTAGTGCTGCCATCTATCTTGTCCACACAGAGTGGTGCCTGAATCCGCTTATCGAGAGCCCTCGCGCCAGGTGGCCTGGTGTACTACGTAAAGGAGGGTTTTAAGATCCTCACGTGGAGATACCGCTGAGCACAGAAACTGAGACTAGCCAGCGCACACCAAAGAGCGATCAGGAGGCGCAGTCATGGCTGCCTGCAAATCAAGGATAAAGGCGGCATGACCAAGGGATCTAAATGCACTCAGTGAGGAGTACATCAATTAAGTGTGGTTCGAAACCTACTGGCGCTGTCCTTTTGGCGGAGTAGTTGATGTGTCCCTTTTCTAATGCAGCGTGGACGAGGCTGGGTCACAGGTCAGGACATTATGAGGGATGTATGAATATATACACCGTCAACAGAGATCTCCACGTCGTAAGAGCAGCATGATGCTTAGCGTAGCGCTTGACCTAAACCGGCGGAATGTCTTGGGGCAGGTACATTCGCACAGGTACATTCGCACAGGTACATTCGGCACAGGTACATTCGGCGTTTGGGTCTTGGCGGGTATTGCGTCATACAAATTGCTAGTAAATTTGCCAATCATAACCAATTGAATGATTTGAACTTCCTATACAAAAAACCACATTGATATTGATGTTGCTTTTACTTCCCAATTAGGAAACAAGTATAGAGAACGTGGTGTTGCAGAACTAGCTCTATCCCTGGGCCGCTCCGCTTGCTCCGCCCCTGCCTCTGGCCTTGCCTCTGGCCTTGCCCTGCCCTGTACCCCGTTTTGGCGCCTTTTCGGCCTCTAACGCCTTCATTGTAGGCGCTCTCTTACGCCCAGCTCTTGATTGCGTCATCGCTGCTGGGGCTGTTGAAGGAGGGGGTATAAAAGCCTCATCTATAGCTTCTTCTTCTTCCTCCTCTTTTTCTTCTTCTTCTTCATTCCCAGGAGTTGGGAAGGACCGATCAACTGTGGTGGTGGTGGTGGTGACAAGGATAGTGAGGGCGCCAGCGGCAGATCCATAAGGGGGGGTATCAAGGACGCTCTCCACGTCAATAGGAGCTGTAGATGGAGGAGGAGGAGGAGGAGGAGAAGGCCCTGCGAGGGGTATTGGCCCTGATAATGAAGCTGCAAGAGCTATACTAGCCTCCTGGCGTGCCTCTCGAGCAGCGGCCTGCTCTTTATTATTGGCGTCACGTTCTGCTGCCTCAGCTCCCGTCATAAGCCGCTTATTGACCCTATCGTGAGTTTTAAACTGACGTCCCCATGAGGATCTCTTGACAGTATCTGGCATTCGAACGTGGAGGTCATCATTGCCAAGTTCTTGAGCGAATTCAACAAGACCTCGTTGTTCTTGAGCGAATTCAATAAGACCTCGTTGAGCTTGAGTTGCTGCGTTTTCGTAGCGTTGACGCGCGTATCCTGTAAGATTATCTCGTGCCTCTATGACCTCTAGACCAAGCCCTGTCATTTGAGTCCTTGTAGGAGATAGAAAAGGGTTCTGAATAGTTGTATTTCGAGGGGGGGATAGAGGTAATTCAGCAGTCTGATATAATGGCGACCAGTTAGCTATCCTAACAGGCTCTCCTTGTAACCACCAACGAGGGTGTAAAAAAGAGCGAGGAATTGGTGAGCCATTAAGGCATACTCGACGAAGATAATACTTGTAAGGAAGGCCAAATCGAAGTAATATCTCGCAACTAGTGCAGATATCTGATATAGCTTGAAGTGAGCTATCTTGACATCCTAATTTCGTAGCTTGCCACTCAACAGATAGCCGCTAAATAGCTTGAAACGTTACTGTATCTGCTAGCCACGAAAATGCATGCAAATCCAGTGTTCGAGGTAACTTACTGCCTGTATAGGCCTCCTCCTTATTTAGTTCTCGGAATTTTGCCTTGATAGTCTCTCCTAGACGTCGTGCTGCCTCCTCCATACTTATATTCTTGTTGAGGATCTTTGTAGTTACAGGATGAATGCTTTCAGAGCGCTGATTTGAATAACTGCCCAAGTTGGGATAGGTGCGAGTGTAGATACGCAAAAAATGTATCTCTCGAGGGCCCTAGTACTTCCTCTAAGTACTTAATTTCGCTCTGCTTAAGCTTTGAATGTAGCTCTATCTGACGTGTAGCAAGCTCCTCTTGGGTATGGCTTTTGACAAAACGCCATAGAATATCTCTAAGCTCTTCACGGGCCTCCTTTTTGTAACCCTTGTCTGCTAGCCGCTTTATAACGTTTTCCATAGCGTGCCAGTCGCAGTACTATAGAATTGCATCAGGAAGAGCTGTAGGGAGTAACGCTGTCATGCCAACTGCTTAATTACTAAGTACTAAACGTGGCGGAGAAATAAGAGGATAGAAAACGCGCTGTTTAAGGCTCTAGAAGATGAAATCGAAGGACATTTTGGATTCTGAACAGGCAAATGATAAGGCAGCAACGAAGGTTCTGTTACAGTTGATTATACCTGCTATAATAAGTAGAACAAGATTGCAAGCATTTATATTAAACGTGCTATTGACGAAAAGAGTCCATCCTGCTATAAAGCGCTGAGCGTATCGGATTTGATCAGGATGAGCGAACCAAATTTGCTATAACTGAGTATCAACTACCTCGCCAGACTGTTGGTCGATTTCCTCCTTTATACGGCATTCAAAAACGAAACCAGCATCTTTAAGGGCAACAATAAGGCCAGAGAACTCATCTTTTTCAGCAGAAAGAGCGCGATGACGAAGATTATAGTAATTCTTACGATCAAGAGGGAAACTAGCTTGTTCAAGCACTTGACGTGCTGCAGAATACGAGATATAAGCTGACTGTAGAGACTTACCCAAATCCAGGGCTATTTAATACCCAGGGAGGGCCTTTTTGTGCTCTGTATATACCAAAGGGTTTACTGCTATAGAATGGTGTCAACCTGCTGTGCAGAGTACGTCGAGAAGCAAGTTGATTGATAGCTACGGGGGTAGATAGCGTAGATCTATGTACAATTGGGTGCACCGTACAGCGAAATTAGAAACGAAATTGCGTCGGAAATTGACCAATTAGAAGCAGCAGAAACGCAGGGATTACGCATATTAAACGCGGCCAATTAGCCCTCTCAGAAGGTCAACAAATGGCTATGAGAGTTGTTTTTGACGCCTAATACAAGGCTAAATTCTCGAGATCCACGCTTGCCTATCTGCTTAAAGGCGAGATATATAAGGTATAGATAACTCCTTACGTTGATAGCTGTTGCTTCTTGCTTACGTCGGTGCGAATGTACCTGCCCCAAGACATTCCGCTAAACCGGATCCCGCGCCCCCTTCGCTTGCCGAGTAAAGAGTACATACTATGGTAGGAGGCATAATGTTTGTCACCTCCGCACTAGTATCTTTGAGCCTAAACAATTATCAAACAAGCCAGGCTAAGTAGCACTAATTCATCTTTGGATTAATCAGAGTTGGTGGACTTGTTTGTATGGCTGCTTGATCTTATATAAGCTTTTCGACGACCAATTAGCTATCTGTGGACCTTTAGTCCTCCTGGGTCTGTCCAGGTCTGGTCTTCGTCTATGGTTGCGTCCAAAATAATGTATAGCTTGTTGACTGGTGGTGGTTTGGTGATACATTTTTCCTATCTGTTCAGGAGATCCAGGATGAGCACCATCATTCCTTGCATTCAAGATCGTTGGTACAAGGTTTTCACTGGTCTGTTGATTGCGGGTTCCTTGACATGCTTTATATTAAGCGCGCTGGAGACGAAAAAATCCCAGGCGGTTGGTATGATACAATGCCAGCGATCAAATGTTACCCCGCCGGAAAAAAACGAGTGTCAGACTGTCGATGTGTCTATTACCTATGGTTTTACCAACATTACGAAATGAATTTGTCAAGCCTATTTCACGGGTCTTGTGAACCGCGAGTGTATGGACGGTGAAATATATGAATGCACCTAGTTAGTGCTAACATATATTGTAACCTTTCTATCCTAGAGCCTCTTCATAAGAGCGCCAGAGTTGACCTGTCTCACTAGTTGGATAACATCCAACTCCGCCACAGCTTTAGCAGGCTGGCCAATGCCTCTTGCAACTGATCTGCCACAACGGGCACGTTGTGCGTTGGTGGTCTCGATCACGGTGCCGTCGCGCGAAGATCCCCTCCCTGACCCGTACCGCTGCCCGCCGCTTCTCGAAATCGTCGCGGGTGCTGGTACGGTCCCATCCTCCATACCCGCAGCGCCCAGCTGAGCCCCCCACACCCTGCATCGTGCTGTCGAAAGTGCGGCCTGGTACAAACCCACGAATCGCCAGGGCCCGGTTGTACATAGCTAAACAACCTTTTTCAAGGCCTGGGCTTGGGTATTGATGCTCTGGATACTAGGGAATTTTTTCTAACTACTGGGAGAAGCTACAATGTTAGTATGTAGTCAACATTGGATGTAATATTTAAAGAGGTCGAATGAACTTCTTGCGCGACTGGGCGTACCAACCATTGTATCAAAAGACTGTTGGGGGATCTGCAACGCCCTTTATCATGAAGAGATCAACAGCAACTCTCTCTCGATACCCTAAGCGGCTGCATGAGTGGAAGATGTAGAAGCAACAAATGTGAGGAAGTGGTAACTTAAAGTCTCATGTGATGTGATTCTCAAGATACAAATATCAAGTACGTTAGAATAGTCTTCATGGAAAATATTTAGTATAGAGCAGATTTTGACTCTAGTTTATTGTCTCCAAACCCTATTGGACCGTCTACGTACAGTCGAAAAGAAACCGAGAGTCATCCCTGTCTAACTCATATTCTGAAATCCAGTATAGACCATAGAGGCAGTAGTAGTAATGGTCAATACGCCGCCAAGCTTTTGCAACGCTTTTGCAATGACCAATATAACGGGCTGGATTGGTAGGATAGGGCGGCTCAACAAAAGATTTCGGGTTCCCTCACTCGTAAGACCGATGATGAGGACTATCACAATGGGCTATCGAGACCGTAAGATCGTGTCAGGAACATGACATAAACACCCGTTGCGAGTCCTAGGCGTACGGTGCGTGAAATCTGTTCACGAAAATCGGCTGCTTGCCAAGCATTCAATCAATGGTTGAGAGGCTAACATTTCCAGTCTTTCTAGGCGAGTGACGAGATCATCATGGGGGGATTGTTTTCGGAATCAAAGGTTTGGTAGCGACAGACGAGAATGACACACCGCCTAGAGAAGCTCCGGCCTCTGTTCGAAAGCTGCGTAAATCATATCATCCTTTGCGAGACGAGCTCCTTTGGCAGGTTGGCATGCGTACCCTGGCGCTCCAAAATGGTCGGACATCGAATTTCCCAAATCTCTGTGTGGCAACTAGAACAGCGGCAGAGAATCGGTCTGGGCACTACAAAGTCCGGAACTGAGCAATTAGGCCCGTGTGCCGGACATCTTCAGCAACACCTTTCGGCTGTGGTAGAGTACCAGCTGGGTGACTAATTCCTCTCGTAGGCATGATGGCTCTCTAAAACGTGTTAAATACAATGCAGTTGGTGATGGGCCCTTTTGTAGGACGCTCACGTTCAAGGGTTTTCAGAGCCAATAGGGGATCTTAGAGGCTTCCACAGATGAAATAAGGGATGTCATGGATGGAACGGTGAGAAAGCGTAAATGGATGCGATGGCAGGAGAAATCAAGGCTTTGGCAGGGAGGGTTACATGCCTTCGGGACATGCTCAATGTCAGACGTCAACTTGTCGAATGAGAGAGAGCCGCGATAACAATGTTGCATGTAATGGCCGGCCAACTATCAGAAACATTTAAGATGAGTTTGCATCAATATGAGATCGCCACAGACCCACATCAGATTCTGCACTAAAGCTGCTGACATCACATAGAGCTGCGTCTCGATGCGGTTGCACGCTAAGGGCGTGCACGAAATTGGTCTCACAGGTAAAGATGACATCTCGAACCCTAGGTGTAGGCCAGCAGATTGAAGAAGGATACAAAAGAGAGTGATCTCAGATTATAGTCCGGCGTCAGTATCTACCACACTCCCCACATCACTCCATCCACTTGTGGGAGTTCTGACCCCATCATCGAACTCGCTCAGAACGCCATCATCACTTCCTAGTCCTTCAAAACCACTACCACGTACATGATCAATGCTATCGGCTGTGCTTGAGGCAGAAGTGGTTGAGGGAGGATGTGGCTGGGATTAAGATGTGTTTGCAGGATTGACAGGTGGTAAGGCATGTCTAGCTTCGGACAAGGGATATTTTCAATAGAATAATAATAGTCTTGGCGGACGCTCGATCTGGACGAGGACTTACGTAGTAAGGAAATCCCTAGAAATATATCGCTTACTGAGATTTGACTCGATCTGACAAATCAGCCAAACAAAGCAAATCAGTGCCTCAATTTGCTGATACCCTGGCGCAAACCTGTCCTTATTTCTCTCAGCATCACTGATTACGTCGCCTCATTGGGGCCCTAGCACAAACCAGTATATTCTCTCGCGGTATTATCAGAAAGTGCAACTGCTATCAACATTCGGCACGTCTACGCTCTCTGCCGCTCATGGTCAATGAAGGGGTTCCATGCTCCTAGGCGCCGGCAACCGGCTGATCATGGCGCTAGCAAACTTCTCGCTCGATTGATAGGCTGCTACTTTCCCGGATAGCTTTCTTTTACAGACATGGGCAGATGTCCCGCTCGCCGTAGCCAGCCTGGTAACGCTGCCATCTTTCGTCTGACCATTACGGATCTTTTGCGCTGTTACTTAACGAACGCCTCCCTAGGTCATACACAGAAGTTCTCCTCTTCTGTCCAGGGTCTGGCGGGCGGTGTTTTCAACGTTGGCACAATTGGGCACAAACCTAGGGGTCAACCTTACTGCTATCCTTGCAACGGCAGTGACACTGAAATCGACTGGTAAAGAAAAGCACCGTCGGTGCTCGGAAAGGTTACGAAAGGAGCATCTTGGACGTTTTGTGCGGCAACAGCAATGATGCTCCTAGTAAGGCGCTTGGGTATGAAAAAAGTGGAAAAGCGGGGCAGTGCAAATATACTACTAGTAGTAACTTAGGTTAGGTTTACTATAACTAAGACTAGAATGTTGAGCGTGGTGATACGGGGAACTATGTCGATATCGGACCTCTATTCTAGAGTGCTGTTGAATACTTACTAGTAGTATCTTGTGTGGCACACAGTGATAATTTAGTAAAAGTATCGATAAATGATGTCTATTATTTCGACATTCACAAAACTTGCTACTTCAAGCGATTTGCAAACTCATCACATGCTATCCACCGAAATCAACACCCAACTGCTCGGGGCTTCTTCTCCTAACACTCTCATACGCTCTCTCCAGTTCGAATTCAATACCACATCTCACTCTTAATTCGGGAACAGCCGGCCAAACGCTTCTCTCGCCTCGCATAATCCACTCATCCAGTAGATGTTCGGTAGGCGTGTCGAAGAGTGCAAGCAGATCTTTAAATGTCAGATCCGGCGTAAGGCTAATCTTTGCCCATCGACTGTTGCTCGGGATTGTCTCGTCCATCAAAAGTCTGCAAAGTGGTGTGGGCAACCAGCCGATTGAATTGAGCTGATTCAGCATATGAAAAACTTCCCCGGACCACAGGCGAATCAAGGTGTTGAGGAAGGTGGAGTGACCGGCATAGTTTTGCTCGGCACGGACGAATGGTGCGATGTAGGGACGGGTTTGAGATACGATGAAGTGGTTGACGTTGAAGAGCTCGCCGATTCGTTTCAGCGGTGCTTCCTGAAGTTCAGCTCTACCTCGGGTTGAACCTGTTCTTTGCTTCAATGGGCTCCCATCGTGGTCGGTGGCGGCGTAAGGCTCAGTGGAGCCGATCTCGTTTTTGCAGTACAGCTGGACTGGTGCATAGAGGGTTTTGGAAGTTGCTGTAGAGGCTACGACGGCTGACCAGATGAGGACATGTGGGGCGGTGATGTAATTCAACAATTGAGGTATACCTACTTCATCGGGCAGAGCCACCGTGACGTTGAGGATTCGTCCAGTCTTGGAAAATGCTTCCTCGAAAGTGATATCCCCAAGATTGTCTTGAGCACACTCTTGCAGGACGCGTATATTGAAGATATGGCCCGTCCGAAGAAATCTTGCACCCCTCCTACGAACTGCTTGGAACCATTTCGTTCCTGCTGGAGCATCATCTGCAAGCTTTCTCCTTCGCAGTCGAGCCCTCTGGAAAGAGCTTAAATCAATGGCCCTACCAGCAAGGACCTCGAGAAGCTCATCATCTGTATGCACACCGACCAACGCTGCCACAAGTGCTCCTGTAGCTGTTCCTGTAATGATTCTTGGCAACAAGCCTCTAAGGTGCAGTGCCTTGACAACACCAAGATGGCACATGCTGAAGGCAGAACCACCTTGTAAGACAAGAGTTGACCTTCCAAATGCATGGCTTGTGTCGTGAAAAAGCTCCATTTTCGTCTGAGAATTGAAACCAGCCTGAGTACCTGAAATCGCTGCCAGATCACTGATACATCGCTGTACCTGGCGGATGTAGTCCTCGATGAGAAGCTTCGTGCCAGCATGTGCCTTTGTATACAGCCTAGGCGATAGTATGTCGTAGAGATTCCGCACTGGGTGCATTCTGAGCAGCCCGCAGAGTTTCAGGATGTCCCCATTGACCTGACATCGTTCAATCTCTCGCTTCTGCTGAGAAATCTTGAACCAATCATAGTACTTGCTGTCGTTTCTTCGCCGCCACAAGTCAAGACCGAGAAGGCGATCGATCTCCGCTTGAAGATTGTGCCATTGCTCATATGTTTCAGCTGCCTTCGAAGCCTTTTTCAGGTCCTCGACCGCAGCAAGAAGAGCTGCGCGACGGCGGATCCAAGAAAAGGTGAGAATGGTCCAGACTATACTTATCAGCGAGTCAAGCAAAGACATAGCAACCCCTCTCAAGTGTTGCAATGCATAAACGAGATTCTTCACATGTCATTAAGTGACTGAGATACTGTAGGCTCTGATGACTAAAACAGTCCGGGCCAGCAATTGCAGGATTCTTCACATCCTGTCTAAGCACCGGCGCGGGATCGCCAGATTCAAATAATCATCTGGAGGTAGAGCCATCGATTTGCCACTATAAGAGGATCAGCGTGGCATCTGTGCAAAAATGGTCCCAACCACAGTCCGCCAAGAAGAAACATTTTCGAAGCTCGTGCCATGCCAACCGCCCTTGAGTACTACTACTAGTAGTAGTTATCTAAGCTATGTCGTCCCACCAGCGTCGCCCTCACTGCAGCCACAAGAGCATCTCTCGGACGGCTACAAGCTCCCTTATGCCAACTCTACGACATCAATTGACTCTGCACCCGAATATGTGATTGCGTCATATTATGTATCACACTGGAGGTCAGAATCATCAACTTCCACCGAAGTGGCCATTCCAATTATTCATAGCAGTACGACCGACCCCGTCCATGACAGGAGGCGGGTAGCAGTTACGAACATGTAGTGCAAAAGCCCCTTCACATAGCTGGATCCTCAGCGGTTCAGGCAAAGGTGTCGGGAGCCTCAAGCATCCAAGCGTTGACAGCATGCATTTCTTTTCGACTGGTGATCTTGGGACTCATTTCTTGAACGCTCCAAATCCCCTGTTCTCTGTCTTTGCAACAATTTCCAAAGCAGCACTGCTCTTAACAGTCGCAGGGTGCCTCAGCCAGCTAAAGTTGCTCTACTTTCGAACGGAGCCAAGCTCGCTGTTCGACATGCAGATGTTCAACCACGCAAGCAGTGGTCCTTGATGTGCATTCCAACTCATTCGGCGTATGAGCGCGAGATTCCATAACGACTGGATCGCAGCATATGCATCGTTAGTAGTGACTCTGGCACCCGGGCAGATGATGAACAATACAAACTTCACGGTCATTTACTACGACTATTCCAATATCGCCTCGTTTCTGGCCTTTGTCTTCAAGGCCACGAAATGGAGCTCCGATTCATGGCATGACTTGAGGAATACATTGATACCTCCATAGCGCTGAGTAGTTCTCAAATCACGACGGAGCTTGTGTCAAACTTGGCATTGAGTATGACGAACAACATTTAATCAGCCGCTCATAGCGTCCCTGTCCTTGGTACAGCCTATCTAGACGACGTCTTCGTTAACGTTCGATCGCGTTGGATTACCTTATTTACCACAGCCTGTGGTCCCTCTCACTGCAGCCCTCCTGGTCACAACAACGAATCACGTTCCGCACACTGATCTACTACTTGGAGGTCTTCTAGCATTGCCTTGATTTCCGTAATAAGAATGGCTAGAATCTTAAGGAGCTAGCACAGGCTGACAAGAGGAGCGAAGTTAGGGACATGTCAATAAAGATGCTTGGAATCTTTCAAAGATCCTTTGATGGCAGCCTGGAGGTCTTACGGACAAGACTGGGATTTGTCAGTTTCAGAGACTGGTAGTCTGGCTTGGAAGTCGCCTGGAATAATGAATTGGCGACTACTCGAAAACGCAATCAACACAGAGCATCATCCCGTACAGCTTGAGGGTTGCATCGAAGAATTGTAGTCATGCTACTTTTTCATCATTCTCCACGATTACTTCCAATTAGCAGCGTTCCATAGCACGGATCATGAACTGATATGAGTTTTCTACCATTAGTGAATGTGGTACAAAAGCTAGTATGCCATAGTGGCACATTGCGAGAACACGAAGATACAACTAACACGGAATTCGTTTGCATGAGGAATAAAGTCGGCAGTAGACAAAATCAGAATACATTGAGACCAGATATCTTCCAACCCAATGAGATGACAAGAACGTGCATCAAGTGGCCGTCAAAATGGAACATAAGGTCGTCAATGAATGGGTAGTAGAACCTAATGGTACCCTGACGGAAATCCTCGCTGAATTGCTTCGCGTCTACCTAACAACTGTGTGAGTCATCTTCCTCCATGAGGCTTGCCCAATCGCCTTCGGTTTCATTGGCATTCGTCTCCAGAATCGTGCCACAGTTAGAACAGCCGAGAACTGGAAGGTCGCGTCGAGATTCATCAGCATCCATTGGGGCAGCGACATTCCGTGGTGTAGGACATCTGTCGTCAGATTCCGAATCGTAAACTCGGAATGTGCCCTTCTTGCCATCCAGATCAGTCAAGACCCGCGTCTTGATATCGTCCTCTCTGCTATCCTTCTCCTTCTCCTTCTCCTTCTTCCCCCCCTCCTTCCCCCCCTCCTCCTCCTCCTCCTCCTCCTCTTCAAGCTTAAGCGCATCACGCATCTGCTGCATGGCCTTCTTGATCATGAGCCCCTTCTTTACCACCTCCCGCCTCACAATCCAGATCGGCATATCCGTAGCCGGCTGCACACTCAACAACGCCGCCGTATTCTCCGCCGAAAGCAACTCCTCCACCAGCCTCGCGCGATCCTTCAAACATGCCCCCTCAACAAGTTCCACACAGGCCGCATTAAAAGTCTGCATCCTCATCCGGTCACTCTGCATCCTCATCCGGTCACTCTCGGGCTCATCCCACCGCTCAAAAGTCTGCATCCTCATCCGGTCACTCTCGGACTCATCCCACCGCTCAAAGTCCAAATACTTGGCATAGTGCAGCATCACCGCCTGCTGATGCAACGTCATCGCCGCCGGGTTCCGATAGTACGCAAACACGGTCGACGCCACAAAATCACGGCCCTTGTGATGGTGATCGTTGCTCAATTCAACCCACGACTGCGGCTTACAGCTGCGCGGCATCAATTTCTCGAGCGCGCCCAGGCTCTCTTCGATGTGCCAGTCGATGAGTTGGATCTGCCTGAGGATCCAGGCTTGGTCCGGGAAGGTGAGGGCGAAGAAGTCCCAGTTCGCGGCGGAGCGGAGGTAGAAGTTCACCCAGGGGATGGACAGGTTCGCATCGTCGACCCAGCGCAGCTTGATGTCTTGGATGTAGGCTTCTTTGTCGCCGGGCAGGTTGAACCATTTGGTCGTGTCCATTTTTCGTGACTGGCAGGCCTTGGTACCTGTGCTTGGGATGGTAAGGCTGGCAAACACGTAAAAAGTGATGTGACTGTCGTAGTTTGTTGCGGGTTAAGGGGTGAGTAAAGTTGCACTGGTCACTCTACTGGTAAATTCAGACACAGGGTCGGGGAGATCTGACATCCTTTATATCTTCCACAGGTGTGGGTTGCCTGATGAGCCCTGGACCCCAAGGCTGGGTAGATGGTCATTTGCAGCGGTACGGCATGTCAGCATTGCCCTTTTAGGACTTCTGCCTGTTTTATTGATATGCTCGATGCGAGTGCGCCTGAATTGTTAGCCTAGGGCCACCTCGGCGTCAATTTGCGATTGGTTGGAGCTGGAGCATATGCCTTGGATATCATGTCTGGAAAGGCGAATCCTTCTCGAACCTTTGAAATAATACACGTTTTGCCCTCAGTAACAGGCATAGATAGATAAGGTAATATCTTCAAATTGGGACGTCGACATGGCATAGGATGGACTGAGCTTGAACATGAGGCCAATAAAGTAAAGGAATGATTTGATTTCGATAGCTAGGCAGCTCGAAAGAGCGATGCTGTCTGAATTCCAGACGTAATGACTATGGAAAAAGGCCTTGAATCGGTCCCACACTCCTAAGAGGCAATGGACGCTTTCTCGTATTGGCCTTAAAAACAAAGTTTGCAGTTCGAATCTGCTTCGTGCACCTGCGGTCTGTACCGCGAGCAACAAGAAGAACATTTTCGAGTACATGAGAAGGCAAGTCTCAGAAGGAGTATCAGAGCGAATCTCGACACAACCAACTGTAGTAGGATATGGAAACGAGCAACGCAAAAGGGAACGCGGATGAGGAAATCAATCCCCACCACCATCTTGTTCTCTCGAAGAGAACAGCTGCTGACTACCGCCAAAGCAATCCAGCAAGTCCATTTCAAAATATAAGCCATAACAAAGCAGAAACATTTTTGGTTCATTCACAAATCGGGGGATCCTCCTAAGCTGTAGACAATCTGCTTAAGTCTCGCAACTTCCTCGTGCAATCTCTCATTTTCGGTCTGTAGTGCTTCAGCGCTCTCTAGCTTCCTCTGGCGAGACTTCCGTGCAGCAGCGGTATTCTTTTTTCGCTTCAAGTCTTCCTTGGAGTCCCGATTTGGATCAAGGACGATATCTGGTAAAGGCTTGTTCTGCTTCGATGGCCTAACACCACTGGTCACCGAGTGCTGACGACCATGAGTGGAGGACGGTGGACGCCCAGGGGAGGACTTCTGGCGAACCATAGGTGAAGAAGCATTGTAGCCAGATGAAGCGGACGTGAAGCTCGTGTTGGCTTGAAGGTTGAGCTTGTTGAGATGATCATTGGCGTCTGGGAAGAGAGAGGTGTAGCCGCTGCTGAAATCAAGCTCGGCATCAAGGGCACCATCTGCGTTCATTGGTGAGGTGTCGAGGCTGCTATTGCCGAGGTAGGGTGACTCCAAGTATCCCGAACCTGGCGTACTTAGGTTAGGGAAGGCAGTGGAGGAGGGCGCAGACATGGCAATCGACTCGCTCATGATGTCTTTTGGAGAGACGGTGCCAGTGTTGGTTGTTGCCTGCGCCGTCCCGGAAGCGTTGATGGCTGTCCAGGACGAAGCGAAGTCTATGTTGGAGTCTGAAAACATTGTATTTGATGAGTCGAGGGAATCACCCGGGGCAGGGAGGGAAATATCATCGAAGAGATTCATATCTGGTGAAGGTCCGTTTAGTGGTGGATCAGAAATGGAGTGAGTGAGAAATGATTCACCTTGTGGAGGAATTGAAGTGGCCTGTATCCTGCGCTGCGAACCGATTTGATTTGTTTGTGAATGAAGTGATCCTGTGCTATGGCTGTGAAAGGGTGGAACTGGAGGACGAGTCCTCTTTTGCTGGTGCAATGTGGGTGTAGAAGCGGCGTTGGAAGCGTACAGATGTGGCTTCTGTGCCGAGGAATTTGAATTTGACCGATTGATGAAAGACGTTGATATAGGCCCGGCAGACTGATATTGGCTGTTCAAGGACAGATGTCGATGATTAGGGAAGGCGGTCTGCGGATTAGGGGCTGTACTCGAGGTCGCCTGAGCACGCGAGTGCTGAGGGGTCAGTTGGGTCGCCGGTGCCGGACCGAACAATTCGAAGTCCTGTTGGAAGCTGTTCTGGGACAGAGGTGTAGCCGAAGCAAGTTGGGGTGGGGATTGATGATGCCATGATGCTTGATAATCCGTGATGAACGACGTAAAGTCGAACAGGGAAATGGTTGCTGGTGAAGCGGAACTTGAGCGACGCTTAGAGACGGGGCTGAAGTTCACAATTTCTCCGAAGAGAGACTGTGAAGTGGTGTTGGTTTGAGTGGAGTTTTGGAACTTAGACAATGCTGTCGGTTCTATCTTGCCTGGTGAGGACGAGATAGAAGGTGGTGGAGGGAAAGAGACTAGAAGTCCTCCATATCCTGGGGGGGTACTTCTAATAACTGTTTTGGTGTAGTATGGTAGTGATGAAAGTGGTGAAGAGAAGAAGAGAGGAGAGAATGATCAGGCAGACGGGGAAATCAGGCAGATCTTAAGTTGTGGGAAAAGCGCTGAGGTGCGAAGGGCGGAGAGGGCTTAGGATGGACCAGCTAGGCCCCGATAGGCTCTGAACGTGCAGCTAAAAAGTGTGAGTCACACTCTACGACTGCCTGCACAACCCGCAATTCAGCCAATTCTGAGCATCTCCTTAGGAGGTGCAAGTAACTCGATGTAACCATCAATGGCCATGTTACCCAATGATTTAGTCGGTCCTTCTCTTCTCGTCCAATTTGAGCAGGAATTCGTCAAGATGTCCTGCTTGGGAGGACCAGCTTACCAATCTGCCAGGCAGTTAGACGCGCCCAAGGCAGACTCGACAACTTCCCTGTCTTCAGCTGGAAAACACGAACGCTGCAACCCCGAAGGATCGCAATCCTGCCTTATTTTGGCTTGGCTCTGTCGCTGCTCTTAACCGAGTACTTTACCTACACCGTCTCCTACGCACACTGGAAATTTTTCGCCTCTATTTCATTATCTATCCTCTCATGTTCAAATGCGCAGGGTCTGGAATTTGATACGTTCTGATTATCTTCGGATCTTGGAAGAGAGATCCTCTTATCTGCTATCAACCTTCCCACTTTCATTGGGATGCACTCCCCACCAGATGTTCACCTGCTGCTTTACCGTGCCAGATATCATGCAGCGAGAAGCGGCACACAATCTTTCTTAGGGTTGCGCTAATTAGCCCGAGAACTAGTACCTCTGCCGTACTGTGGTCCTGTGGATCGTCCTGCCTCACTTGGTTCGTTCATGCATCTGCGATGGAACTCCGGTGGCCAGGGCTACAAGAATGTTGCCATGTTTAGACTTGGACGAGGACCTCGATAATTCAAAGGACTTGGAAAGTACTGTCTCGTGTTAATTGTAGGAGAAGTGATGAAGATCTGCTGTAGATATGCTCTTGTCTAGGCTCAATGCACCCGGTTATCGGTGCCGTAGCTGTTCTGCGGCCTGCCATCAAACTGTGACTCACAACCTGAGGCCCGCAGCCTTTTCAATTGGAATCAAAGGCCCCAACCGCTAGAGGGTAACTATGGTCACAGAATTGGCCTGTGAGAACGAGTTATCGATCTGGAGAAGAAAACGTCACACTGCAGTACACATCCCAAGCCCAGCCTCCGACAAATCCTTCAATCTTTAGACTTGCCGGAAGATTGGACGTACTGTCTCGAATTCCCGAAGTTGGCTGCCCGCTCTGTGGAAATAATGTTATTTCAACTAGCAAGATTATTTCCCCACTATCCAATGGGTGACACATTATCTTTCAGTTGTGTAAAGTAGTCTATTAGACCGTTACCTTGCCTGACTTACTCTTTTTCTGCAAGATGATACCAACGGGCTACTGATGTGTGAATTATCTCGATTCTCCTGACGTGTCTTTGCTTCGCGGTGACCTCGTAAAGCACCCCTGGATTATGCTCATCAGCATTACCGAACCTCTCCAACCCAGTCATCCATCATCTCTGGTTGATATATCTGCCCTTTCCGCATGTGGAGGCCTTCTGTTGATGGTGTCTGCAGGATCTCCTCATCAACAGCCGTTGGCTTTGTACCATGAAGGCGACGGTGATCTGGTTGCCACTGCTGCTACAGTCAAAGGCTTTCTCATATGGTATGCCCAATCGAGACGCCACATCTCTTCAAAGCGTGAAACAAGGGGGAGAAAATTTCCATCATAAAGGCATATCCGAAAGTCTCTGTGCCTGCTTCCAATAGACAAGTGATAACACAGATCTCTCCTGTGCTACTCACGGTTAACTATTCCGGTGATGTCAACGTGTTTTGGAACGCCCTCAACATCTCTCAGCCTTGAGCGAAACATCTGCGCCGCAACCCAATAGTAGGCGAAACCTTTCGATTGATCCTCGCAGGTCAGGAATCGTGACAGAAATCAGCGTCCTGTGGCCGTAGTCACCACGCAGATTAAAATGCACGTTTCTTCGCCTGCGGAAGCCGAGCCTAATCTTCAAGCCCTCTCGTTCTTCCTCTTGGATGGACATGATGTCATCATGAGGATTTAAGATGCGTTGTGGTGTGGTCGTGTTGAAGAGTGTGAGTTTCTTGGAAAGTAAACGACTCTTCAGAATCACAGCTGCTAAGTTAGTCTCAAACAACATGCAACAATCCATGAGCTCCGCAACCTGTGCTTCCATATTCTCGTCTTGTCCGGTCAGATACGAGGAAATCCAGCGGATTTAAAAGTACGGTGGGAACTCAGTTCGTTCTCAGCCAGGCAATTCTGCCCCTTGCTTGGTCAGGAGAGAGCAGAAATCTCGATTACCAAACAGAGCTGGGCCCTAAAGTTAGGCGTCTTAGATTCAGACAGTCCGCCAAGAAAAAATTCCATCGAGGTCAATCTCACATGCAACAGGGTCAGCCCACCTCCCAATCGATCAGAAGACCTTGCTTCGTTGTTTGCCAACAGATCGTGCATTGTGGCAAATTACCCTTTTGAGCGGATGGTATGCACAGATGATAGCCTCTATGATCAGGTCCACTTATATACAGCAATGAGAGCCCCTAACACGAAAAAAGGTTTCAGATGGCTGGAACTGGACTGATGCTTCCACACTGCTACGACCGGGTACTCTGGCGATGCGAGCGGCCAACGTTCTTATCGTGATACGGAGGATGCAGCCTGGCCTTGCTTGGCACTAGCTATTTCTGCTGATGAAAAGTTATAGGGAGGATACTGATGCATGCGGATAATGGACACTTGATGTCTTAAAAAAGCTTTTCTATCACTCTTTGAACCGTGTGGACAGCTATCTTCACAAGAGAAGTCATGCCGGCCGAGTCTTCAGCGGGAGCCTTGCCAACCGAGTTATCTATGGGAGCCTTGCCGACCGAGTCAGCTATCCTGCAATGTTTATTTATCTTTGGTCCACACACGTAGTCCGATCGTTTCTTACTTCGGTATTAGGACAGCACGGTAGTTAACCTCGCCGCGTTCCAATCTATCCATCGACTGCTTGATGCCCTCCTCCGTCATGGGGAACGTCTCGACAACCGGCTTGACCTGGTGCAGCGCCGCAAACTCCAACATCTTGCGGTGCTGGTTCCTCGGGGCCACGAGTGACCCCTGCACCGAGATCCCTTGTAGAATCAGCCCCATGTAAGGAATTTCCAGGTTGCCAGACGAGACCGAGAGCGGGTAAATGGCCGATCGGGGAGCCATGATGGGCAGAATCAGTTCCCAGTTCGGCGGCACCGCTGCAGTGACGAGTAATCGGTTGATTGGCGCTGAGACCTCAAGCTTCTTGGCGTCCTTGGTGGCGATGAATTCGTGTGCTCCGAGCTGCAGGGCTTCGGCCTTCTTCCTATCGGAGCCTGAGAGGACCACCACGCGGCAGCCCATCTTGGCCGCAAACTGAATCGCTAGATGGCCGAGCCCCCCGACGCCCATGATACCGACTGTGTCGCTGGGCTTGATGCCTTGGAGGGCGGCGAAGGTGGTAGCGCCGCCGCATTGGAGGGGAGCGGCGTCGATGTCGCTAAGACCCTGGGGGATGGGGTAGAGGAATGACTCTCGCCAGATGGCATGGGTAGCAAAGCTGCCTTGGTCGAGATTCGAAACGCCGTATATAGCACGATCGGGGCAGAAGGTTTCAGCTCCCTCGAGGCATTCGATGCAGTGGCCGCAACTGTCGACTTCATAGCCCCAGCCGACGCGATCGCCTCGCTTCAAGAAGTGGCACGCTGGGCCGACGGTCTCGACGATGCCGATGCCTTCGTGGCCGAGAACCATGTCCGCACCTTTCTGCTCTCTCGTTTAGTAAATCAACAAGCCCACGTCGGAGAACCGAGGTCACTCACATAGTGCAGATCTAGAAGGATCTATTAGCAGCCGTCTCTTACGTGGGGAATCTTCGGGCGGAGGACACATACCGGTTCCACATACTCCAGAGGCTGTGACTCTGATGAAGACGTTGTCACCAGTGAGCTGGTCAGGCTTGGTGGTGGTGCTCTTCTTGGGGACGCCGCTCTGCTGGCCCTTGAAGACGGTGAAGGAAGGCATGTTGAGTGTGGTGGTTCGAATGATGCAGATTTAGGAGCAGACTGTATCGTGAACTTGGTTGCCAGGGGACAAGTTGATGAGAAGAGCAACAAATGGGAATGAGGTTGTGTTTATAGAGGAGTGTATTTTTTTGGGAAACACATCGAATTCTAGCAGTGGTGAATCTATCTGATTACCAACCTGACACTCTGTAGTACACTCCTTGGAGCTTCCGGAGGATTCACACTCACAGCAGTACAACAGTGCAACACGAGGGCCAGGCATTTCCTTTTGCTAAATCTCATCTGGTTTAGAGGTTCAGACTTGTTTTTTCACTGCGACACTGATTAAGCACAATCTAGTGAGCCACACGTTTATGTGCTAATTATAAGCTCTTACAAGTCATCGTATTGGCAACAACCAATCAGAAAATGCCAACATTCACGCCAGAAAGGTGGATAACTCTATAAATCATCTCTCTAATATGTCAACCCTGCCAAGCTCTATCAATTACAGTACCCCACCAAAAGTATTGGGACAAAACGCGCTTTTTTTTCTACACGCGTTTTTTATCGCCTTTTTCAATCAACCACCATGAATCAACGCAAGGCTTTGGCGCCTCTAGAAATCAACAGGAGCTATGGCCAGGAGCTATCTCCATATCAGCGCGGTCAAATTACAGCCTACCATGAGGTAGGCCTATCAATTAGGAAAATTAGCAAAAAAGTAGATTGCACTAGATCTACTGTTTTCAACACCCTCGTACGAAAT